GTGTGTGTGTGTGTGTGTGTATGTGCTTGGGGCAATGCTGTTCTTGCCTGCCTGTGGTGAAACACCCATGTATTGGATTGAGTTCTTTCTTCTTTACAAGCTGAATCCCTTCTAGTCATGCTCAAAAGTCATGCTTATGATCTTTATTCTTAAAGGATCTAAATTAAAAATAAAACTTCAAGTTAAAAGGTTGCTTCCTTTTTTTTTTTTTTTTAATTTAAAGGCCCCATTAAGAAATACAATTGTCTGTGCTTGAAAGATAGGTTTAAAATACATATCCTTCTTTGCCTGTTCTGCTTTAGAGGTCCTCTCTGTCTTTGCTAAACCCAGAACAAAACAGATTCAGATGGATACAGGTGTGATGATGCCATTATTATCAAACATGGTGGTAAAGAGCCCTGGAATTCCAGCCTCAGTTCTTGTTCTTTCACCTGTCCGATTTGCAGCAGATACTTGAATTTGAGTCTTGCATGCCTCAGTACAGCGCTTTTGGCACCCAACTAAAACATCCTCTGATGCAATACTTTTAGTATTTCTGCCTGAAACACATTTGGTTTGTGTAAACTAAATATTCATTTGGCAGCAGAGGGAAGGAGGAGAAGGTGCTGTGAGGGAGACAGGAAGGCTCCATGAGGTAGGGTTCAGTGGAAATGGAAAGGGACTACTTCAATGTCCTGCAATAAATCAGAGAAGAGAATTACATTTGGACTGTTTGTGACTTAGAGACCCAACTCTGAAGAATCATTCACAGTTGCAACCTTGAAATTAAATGGTCCTTTTCTGTCCACGTTCTTTCTTTGCTTTTGCAGGACAGTGAGATTTGGGCCATTAGAGTTAAGCAGCTTATGAAGCTCCTTGCTTGCTTAACCTGATTTGTACAGTGCTACCTGCTCTTGGACACTGACTTCTCTCAGTTGCTCAGGAAGTCCAGAGAAAGGAGTGCTGCTGTCAAACTGTGTAGTGCTGAGCTGAAGAGACTTGACATTGTGAGAGCTTTTAAAAGGTTAAATGTTGTGACTCTGGTGCTGAACCTTAAACCACAAATTCAGTTGAATGGTCTTGAGAAAATTTCTATGTTATTATATGCCTTGGTGTGTCTTATTCACTGAACTTGAAACATGGTAATGCTATTTGCATTATTTTATAGACACATTTGATGATTCAGATCTATTGGATGGCAATTTCCCAAAAGGAGGAAGTGATGGCAGTGGCAGCAATGGTAAGATAGCAGGTTGTGCTTCATATTGTTTCTGTGGCTACCTGAGCTTTTGATTAAAGCTTACTCACAAGCTGGTTAGACATGCTGTAATTTGTAATGCATTTGGTTCTGGTATCTGAAACTTAAGAGCATGCTTTTGACTTAAAAAATAATGTGTTCTGTCTCTGCCAAAAAAACCGCCCCAAATATTTAAGGGGCAAAACTGGTCTAGAGCAAAAATTTTGAGTGGTTTTTGCTGTTACACTAAGAAAGATGGCTTCTAAAACTGAAATGTGAATGCAGTACTTCAAAATTCACCATGAATATAATTTTTAAGGTCATCCAAGTGCTAGTTTTGATCTTCTATGACATGCTCTCCGTTTCATTTAGTTCTTGTAGTTAGGAAGTCTAGGAGTGGGTCAGAGGAGAGTCTACCTTCTGTTCTCAGAGATTTCCTTTGTCCCACAGGATGAACTGATCTTTACATTTTCAAGTGATCCTTAGTCTTTACTTCTTTACTGTGGTGGTGGTCAGGCAGGTGACAGGTGAGGAGGTGAGAAGTTGTGGATGCTCCATCCCTGGAAGTGTTCAAGACCAGGTTGGATCAAGCTCTGAGCAACCTGGTTTAGTGGAAGGTGTCCCTGCCTGTGGCAGATGTTTGAAGCACTGTGATCACTAAAGTCCCTTCACCACCATATGATTGTATACACTGAGCAGTATGAAACCATTTCATAGCTCTCCAAACTTTTTTTGGTAATTTGCTATGTCTAATTGGTGCATTACTGCAATTTTACTATTTTCAGATCAGAGTTAGTTTAAGTAAGTTAAGTTAGTTAAGGGTTTGTGATGTGCTAATGTTTACTGACTTCTCTGGAGGGTTGTCCTAGGTAGAGATTACTGATGCCACTCTTTTGGGTAGCTTTCCCCTTCCAAGGCTCCTTTGGGGAAGTTCTTGAAAATTGGAAGGGGCAAGAAACATCTGTGGAATCTTGTGTGGTGGTTTCAACTGCACAGGTTCCTGCCTCAGTGGTACAAGTTGCAAGTGACAAATAGATTTAGTATCTGTAGAACCCCTGGCTTGCTTGTGAAGAAGATTGCAAAGGTATTTAGTAGATGAGGCTGGGATTTTAGGAAAAGATAGATGGTTCTGTGAAATACAGTTGAATGTTACTCTGAAATTATACAAGTTCTCTGTGGTGTTATATGGGCTTATTAAACCACATCCCACGAATGTTATGTGATGATTTTGTTGAAGTGCTGAGCATTCAAGGCTGGAGTTGGCACTGCTCTGAGCCATGCTTTGAAAACAGAAAGTTTCAGTGCCAGTTTAGCACTGTATGGATATAATAGATGGTTTGTAATTTTGCATAATTAATTGACAAAACATTTGTCAATTATGATATGAGTGTTCTTTAGACATACCAAATGTAAACTCTCCATGCATTTTTACAGATCGAAAGGGCCCAACTCCAAACGATGGCCAAGAAGAGCAGGGTAAATGCATGAATTTGTGTGTATGGTGTTTGCATGTATGAAGCTTGTTTTCTCGGGGTTTCTGATTGCTAATCTTCTGCTAGAATGGTCACTACTGGGAGTGGGTTACAATTAAAAAGCTTTTGTGCAATCTGGCATTCTTTCTTTTAAGCTCTGCTTCCATAGTCCTTTCACATTTTTATGTTACAAATGATTTCTAAGAGTTAAGGTCACAGAGATGCTGCTGGTGCAGTGATTGCATGCATCAAAGTAGATTTGGCTGTGAAAAGATTGCTTTTTTAATTAGTGGAACTTGAAACAGGCATGCTTAAGTTCCCTAACAATGGGCATTGCTAAGAAATCAATGGTTACAAAATGAAAGGACTCACTTTTCACTATGCACAGAGTTGATTATTACAATTTCATGTAATTTCAGTTTAATGGTTTTTGGCAGTGTTCACAGGGTTTACTTTGATACAGTACTTTGACATGGCTTTCAGTTCTGAGAAATGTATACAAACATCTCTGTTTTTTTTCAGCTTCTCCAGGAGCAATAGCTGGAATTATAAGTGCTGTAGGTGCTGCTGTAATTGGAACAGTATCTAGTTTCATTGCTTACCAGAAGAAGAAACTCTGTTTCAAGCAAAGTGGTAAGAATTCCAAATTAGTTTTGTTTCCTACTGTCTAAAGAGAAGCATTTTTGTATTTATATGTGGACTATAAATGGATCCTATGCATAAGGTAGTTGCAATAGCCCAATGAATTTATGTTCACAGGGAGTTACCTTTCCTACTACTCATCTAAGACTGAAGAATTCTTTGCCCAAAAATTAGAGTTTCAAAACTAGGAGGACTTAAAGGTTTACATTTCTTAAAATAAAAGCACTTCTTGCTAAAAGATAAGTGGGAGAGACTGCACAAAATACATTTTAAGGCGAATCAAGTGGAGGTTGGGGATTAGAGACCTTTTCATGTTGAAAAATACTTTGTAGTTTCTAATTTTGTAAATTTTGCCTTTGTGTCTTCACAAGATGCTTGCCTACTGACTAATTTTATAACGACTTACCCCAGTGTTCATCCATAAGTCATTCTTCTGCAGTCATCTCTTGCTTGCTTCTTTTCCATCTAAATAAGATATAACTTGGATCAGAGAACTTTGAGAGTACTCTAGGTGGTAGGAGGGGCAGAAGCTTTGGTTTTGTCTGTTTCAGTCTTACTGACTGTTTAGTGAAGGAATAGAGGAGTCATTCAGCCAGGCACTGCTGTTTTGTCATTTGGGAAGTTTGGAAACCAAATAACATGTCTACCATCCATGTTAAAATTAATGTGCAGACAAAACAGGGCAGCTCACCTACTATCAGTACCTCTTTTTTGTCATTGCTGTTTTTTTCTCTCAGATTACCTCTATTTATCAAGAACCTCAAATATAAGAGAATTTGAATGCTAAATATATTTTTTTTCCCAGCAGATGAAGAGAATGTGAATATGCAAAGCCATAGGGGAGCACAATCTGAGCCACCTGGTAAGACAAGAATCTAGATGGAAGATCAGCTCTTTGGTGGGGATCCTATTAAATGCACGTTATTGACATCTAACATACTGGAGAAAATGGATTGTGCTGTCTTGTTTAAAAAAAAAAAAATTAACAATTTTGGCAGAATATGAGCTAACAATGTGCCTAAGTAGCCAAGAAGGCCAGTGTCATCCTGGACTGTATCACCAATAGTGTGGCCACCAGGACCAAGGCTGTGCTTGTCCCCTTGTACATGGTTCTGGTGGGGCCACACCTCACGTAGTGTGTCCAGTTCTGGGCCCCTGACTTAAAGAAAGACACTGAGGTGCTGCAGCATGTCCACAGAAGGGCAATGGATCTGAGGAAGGGTCTGGAGCACACGTTATGTATTATGAGGAATGGCTGGGGGAATTGGAGATGTTTAGCTTGGAAAAAAGAAGGCTCAGGTCATCTTTTCACTCTCTACAGCCACCTGAAAGGAGGTTGTAGCCAGGTGTGTGTCAGTCACTTCTCCTAGGTAACAAGTTATAGGACAAGAGGAAATGGCCTCAAACTTTTCCAGAGGAGGTTTAGATAGGATATTTGAAAAATTTCTTCATGAAGAGTGTCATCAAACATTGGAACAGGCTGATCAGAAACTCCTCAGGATAGCAGAGCAGTTGTCATCCGTGGAGATATTTAAAAGATATATAGATGTGGCACACAGGGACATGGTTTAGTGGCAGTCTTAAGGTAAGAGTTAAAATGGATGATATAAAAAGTCTTTTCCAACATAAATGATTCTGTGATTCTATGATTTTACCATAATGACAAACTTAAAACAGAATAAAGCATTCAGTTCTGACAACATGGCCACTTTTCTCTAGTTTTTTTGTTGAACAGATTGGTTTATTGCCTTGAGAATGAATTGAAATGTAGGAACTTAGAGAAAGTGAAGAGCTGAATTTTCTCTGCAAAAGTATCATTAGAGGCAATTGTAAAAACACAAGCCTGCTGCATCAGTGTGATGAATAACTGCAGTTGGAAGTTTATTAGTGTAGATTTTTTTCTGATTAGGATCTGAAATGTGTTCTAATTATAAGCTGATACAGAACACTGCAAGAATGTATATGAAAAAAATTATGGCATTTGGACAGAGACGAAACTCCACTGGAGGCAAGGAGGACTGAACTCACTAGCATGTTGTAATTAAAGCATTCTCTATTATGAACAGAGAATGATTCTTGTATGAAAGAACTATCACATAATTAATCTTTCTACAAAGGTGAGAGCTGTGGAAGGATCTCTTTTAAATAAACAAACAATGAGAACCTCAACCTTCCATGTATGGCTGTGTAGGGGATTTGGCTGATGGAGCAGGTGATAAGCTCCAGGAATCTGTGGAGAGAACTGGAGGAAATGGTATAGGTGAAAACTTGGCCTTCTAGCCCTTGTGACTGGTCAACAAAGGAAGAAGCACTATAACCTCATGCTGAAGTTCATTGGTTTTGAAGTACTGAGTATAAAAATCTCAAAGCAGTCTATATTTGCAGTATATTTTTCTGTGAGTTTAATCTTAGACCTGCAGAACTATTTCTGAGGGTTTTTATAATTAAAAATATAATTATATCTTATTTCTCTCAGATATTGCACCAGTTCGTTACAAACTTTCATCTGGTTCATTATCTTCTTTATAAACACTTTAAGCTGTTAAATATATAAAACTCTGAAGTACAAAACATTTTCTTGTGACTGGCTGTAAGGACTGAAGACACTCAGGTATCTTCAATTCAGCTGTGCATTAGGGAAGCAAATAGTAGCATTCAAAGTCCTCTACCAAAGGCTGTTGAAATATGAGCTGTAGTTGGGTTATGCTAAAATTCTGGCCAGGATTCACCAGAACTCAAAAGCGAAATGCATCAGATGATGCATACCTTACTTTAACCAGTAAAGTCACACTTGGGGTGTTATCGAATATGGTTACTTTTACCTACATATTGATGTCATATTTCTTCCCAAATTTCATACTTCTGTTATATTTTGCAGACAAACATGATCATGTGTTGAGCTAAGAGACTGGGCAGCCATGGTCATCATGGTGCTGCTCCTGATCTGAGTTCCAGGAGTCAGCAGATGTTAGGTCTGCTTCTGGTAATTGATGTACCTACATGGCTTCCAGTTAGAAGCAGTCTCTCATTAAGCCAGGTCAAGTGGCATAGCAGAATAGGTCTGTGTTTTTAAAATTTTATGTAAACCTATCTTTGACTTCCTGAACCTAGGAGCTTTCAGTAGCTTACTTTTTGTATGAGCAGCCTGTTTGCATCTGCAAGAACTGCAAGCCTGAGCTGAGTGCTGGGTTACAGTGCAAGTGTAGATAGCTTCCCTGATGTAGTAGGATGTGGTTATTTGAGTGAGAAATCTGGGATGTAATAACCCTTGCAACCTCACAGAATCAAGCCTTTGTTTGCCTAAATTTATCACATAGTGTCAAACTTCTACTGAAAGTTGTTGACTACATAAACTATTACATAGTAATGTATAACTTATATTGTATGCTTAGTGCACTAATCTTGAATTGTTTTTCGCTTTTCAGTTCAGCGCACACTTCTGGAGAACTAAATTAAAGAAAGAGTGGTGAAGAACAGATCTTTGGAACTGGATAAACAACCTGCATTCTGCCAAAAAAAAAAAAAAAAAGAAACAAAAAAAGCATAACATAAACAGCAGAGCCTGAAGTTTCATGAGAAAACAGCTCTTGTTTGAAACACCTCTGGGACTGTGACTGAGATCTGAGTACTTCTGTATGGTTAGCCCTGTGAAGCATTGTTACACACCAATACATGGCCTTAATGACAGGAGTGTAGAAGTATGTTGTGCCTTTACATTCTTTCCTTGACTCCTCTGACAAATGGGTGTGTCTCAAATGCATTCAGTGTGTTTAACTTTTCCTTACCTCTCCAAAACCAATATGCAGTTATGTTTTTTTGTTATTGCTCTCAGGCAATACAAACATTTTTTTAAATAACCTGTACTCAGTGAGTGGACCAACCACTGGTGTATGTGTTGTGGTGTAAGTTGTGGGCACCCGAAAGCAGACACTTCACTGTGTATGGATGGTGGGTCTGGGTGTGAGTGCTGCTGATCCAACCTGTGTAGCTGCCTGGGCCAGCTGCCAGGGAAGAGATGCTTGTGCCTAAGCATTCAGAAGACAAAAATTATGTTTTTGTTTTTAGATTTTTTTTTTTTAGTTGCATCTGTCTGGTACAGATTGAGAAAACCCAAAGTTAATGCACACCGAGCCTTCATCCTTTCTGGCTCTTCCTGCCTAGCAAGTACTGAGCTGGTCAGTTGTGGAAAAGCCTGTTTTGCAGATCAGAAACATAATAGGGCTTTGTATTTCTGTGACATTGATGTTTGGCATTGCCTAAAGAGTGGTGGATGAAGTACTTGGGAGTGGGGATTAACATCTTCAGGCTTCCATAGCCAAAAGCTTAAGAGAAAGTAGTGTTGAATTCAGAAGGCTTATCATACATGAGTAAGGGACATGCGCCATGGTTCCAAGCTACAAACAGCAAGACTGACCAGAACAAGCCAACCTCACTCCACAGGCATCCACTGAACACTAGAAATAGCAAACATGTGAGAAGTGCTTTTGGACTTGTGAAGGATTGCCCTAGGATGATCACCTGTGGTTGCATCCTCCTCTGAAAGCACTTGTGACCTGTGCTGTGGCTCTTGAAAGCAATAGGAATGTTTCAAGGATCTGTGGAAACATGGAAAACTACAACTCATAACAGCTAAAGGACTAAATCTGGAATAATAACTAGTTCTGTCAGGAAGGAATGGTCTGACCAGTTTTGTTGGCTTTCATTCTACTTGCTTTCAATTTTCATGCAATTTTACCGTATGAGTCTTATTAATGGGCTTTAGCCACCCGACAAAGTTCTGCAGGAAGATGACATTTCATGGAACATCTTACAACTTATAAATTAATAAATTCGGATATTAAACCTGTAAATAGATCTGTGCATTCAAATATGAATGTATGCCAAGGATAATTCATTAAAGAATTTCTTGTACATGTTTCTTAGCTTGCAACAAAGATTTACACAAATTTTAGTATTTTCTTATGGAATTAATTTGTAAGTCTCTTTTTGCCCCATGTCTGCTTTTAGCATAAAAGTGCTAAAATCTTTAATGTGTTTGAGAGTGCAAAAGTGATTCCTACATAAACATTTGATTTATGTAAATACAAAGAAAAGAAATGTACGCTTGCCTACATGAATAAACAGATATATCTATGCCAAGCCTAGAATAAATAAAATAAATCAGTGTTTGTTAGCGATAAAATGGCAGGAGGAGCTGAAACTAGCTTTTTGCTAACCAAGACTCTTGAATCCTTTTTCAGCTTTTGTGAGCCTAAAAATTACTTATCAAGACCTATCAACATTGTGATTTTTCTAAAAATAAATTTTAAAAGTTTATGTGTTCTTCTTCTCAGTAGTTCTGAAAATAAAAACTTGATGGTCACTCACCTAGGGAAGGATCCTTTAAATAGTTTGTCTTCCTGCTCTGTTAGCAGCTCAGGTTTATTTTGTACAGACATTTTAATAATTTTGGGGTGAAGCTGGCCAGAAACAACAAAGCTTTGAGCTGCTTACAGGAGATGCTTACCCATGTGAAGTGTAGAGAAGACATCTGTCTGTGTGAAGGACAGGCATGGCTTTTGAAGAAAAAGATTTGGCAACCCAGAATGTACTGAAAATAAGCACTTAGACGTCTTAGTGTGGGCAAACTTGACAATGTTCAATTTTCCTTGTCCAATTATCATCAGATCCTTTAGCAGCAGTCACTTTTGCAGGGCCATGTGTTGTCTCACCTTCTGATGTGAGAGGATCATAACTGAATGAGAAGGCAAAGCAGGGGTTGCCAAGTACCTAAATAGTAACAAATTTACTGATTTTTCCAACTTACTGATTTGTCCAGTCATGGTTCCACAGTCTGGAGTTGTGGAAGAAGTAAAAAAGGCTGGCTGCTGCCACCTGGATAAAAAGGTTAAACAGAAGACTTGAGATTTCAGTCTGTTCTCTTGTGAGAAGGTGCCATTTTTTGGGTTTCTGTCACCTGTGGATAAAATGTGGCAGTTCAATAGCAGTTATTTGAGTATTAATTGCTACATTGCTATTTGCCTCACTACCCACAGAGACTTTGATCTTGTTTCTTTCTCGTTCAACTCCCATTACCTTACAGAGCTAAATATTCTAATTCACTATTTCTCCCACTCCTTGGGACAGGAAACATTATCAGTTAACCCTTATTCACCACTCTACTGAAGTAGTTCTACAGTCACATCCCACAGATCAGCTGCTGCCCTGAGCTGCCATTGACTTCCAGATGTGGGAACTAATGTAGTTTCTATGCATGTTTCAATCAGACTGTGCAGTGGAACAAAAAAATACTGTCCTTTCTAGGTCCAAGCTGTAAGTTGATCCCTGTGAGGTACCTTTACCATCAAACTGAGTTAAAATGGATGGCAAGGCAACAAAGAGCACTGTCCTGATCCTGTGGCACACCCTCTTCACTTCCATTTGTTTTTCCAGTCTACCTCCTTTGAGGATGAAGAGGAGTTACCAGCAGTAATGGGAGGAAAAATAATCAAAGCAAGATCTTGTAGAATAATATCTCACTTTAGCTTCTACAAGGTAGCTGCAGTGACAGTTTATTCATCCTATTGGTGGAAAAGACGGCTTGAAAAATGTTTTGTTGTTTTTCAAATGTGATGTTCATTTCAAGCACTTATTCAAAGTTATCCAAATGAATTCATTGGATTGGGCCAATGAAAGCAGGGAAATCTTAAGCATAACATTTGGCAGCTTTTTGCTGTAGATCTTACTTGTGCACATTTCAGTATCTGCCAAATTTTGAATACTAAGAAAAACATTTTAGTGCTCTCAGTTGTCAGTATATCTTGGGCTGAATTACACTTGCTGCTTTACTGTGTTGGCTTTTTTTTTTTCACTTATTAGTTTTGGACACCATCTCAAACACACTGTCCTACGTGTTTTTCACTTGAGAGGATTATGAAGCAAGCCATAACCTTTTCACAAGTTGAAAATGTTACTTCCTTTTTGCTCTTTTCTATTACACAAATGTAAAGACACATTTAAAAGGAAGTGAAGAGATTATTAGGAATGGGGAAAGGATTTAAATGAGGCAAACCTACAGTTTTTCCAAATCTCTGCTTTTAGAGTACTTTAATAACCACAAGAATAAAATACACATTCCTCGATCTGCTTGAAAAATCACTGAAGCTTTAGCTAGTATGTAGTAATTGTATTCTGTTGTCAAGAAATTGTATCACCAGTTCACTTGTGTGTTTGGCTTACATTTAAATTAATGGCTTATATTACTGGATGCTTCAATATTTTAATTAAAGTACTTGTGTTTTTATGAAAAAAAAGATGAGTAGTGTAGGATATTAGTGGCATTCCCAAGTAGTTCTAGTGTATAATTCAGTTCTTTCATCTCCAGTAGACACATACAGCAGGTTTCCTATGCCAGAGAGAGCAATGTCTGAGCTCTGCCCACAGGAAGATGGGGCTGCCACTGTGATGAGTTGTGACTGAGCTCTTTTTCCCTTTTAGCTTGTCTCATCTGAAAGAGGCCTGATGGGGTAAAAGTATTTGGTGTAGAAAATAGACAGACACATTGGCTCCTTTTCTACCTCCATTTGCACTTCTAAAATATTGAGATTTTCCTTAAAAGACAAGTAAAAAAAAAAGATAGGCAATTCAGCCACCTTGTCAGGTGAATGGTAGAGAGAACTTTGTTTTCCTTTACAGTGAAAAACCTGGGTCAATGATTTTTCAAGTGCTAAAATTGCAATTTATGGTCAGGTATTAGCTCATATATTTAATATACAATATTTTTTACATGCTATCTTGGGCAAGCTGTTGCATATTTTTGACAGCACTGAGATTAAGTTCCTGTAATGCTCCCAAGAACAGGAGGGGGATAAGCATTCAAGACATCCTGACTCCTACACTAGCTCCACTCCTTCCAGTGCCACCCACTTTCATATTGTTATTTAGCTAGATAGGGCAACAGCTGGCTTCAGAAGAACCAAACAAGATGTGCATCATCTTCAAACTTTATCTGAGAACGTTCAATTTCACGGTGGAGTTGTATCAGCAGACAGGTGAGACATTGCATTTTGGGAAGACTTTACTTGCAGGAACAACTATTTTGAAGTAAAGCTACTGAACATGTGTAAGCTGTTGGGACCTGCCTGGGACTAGTACCTAACCTTGCCTACATTCCTGTTCCTGTTCCCTTCAGGCAAATTCATCACTTGTATGAAGATCAGCACACGTGGGCCTGCTTTTGGCATTCTGGAAAATAAAAAACAAAAAACAGTGGATTTATGGGATTGCTCATTTCATGGTATAGTTCTTGTTTTAACTGGCTGAAAAAGTCACATCTTCAGCCTAAATGTCCTTAACTGTTCTGAGACTGAGCAGTTGGCCCTGACATGGAAAATGATGATACCAAAATTGAACTTTAGAACTTCTATTAGTAGCTATAAGCCAGACCTTTATAAACCATTCTGCTGTTACAAATTTGGGCAGGGGAGAGGGAGGGAGTTGACCTACTTGAACATCAAGTTTCTTGAGGATCCAGTACCACCAAGTTCTATCGGTCCATCTGATGTTGTTGCATCTGTTTTTTGTAGTTAGCATAAAAGCACGAGTTCAGTTGTATGTTCTGGGTAACTCAACAGCAATGCAGCTGGGGGCAGCCTGTGCCCCACATCAGACTGAATCACCCAGCAACACCACGAGTGCTCAGACTGGCCACTCATGGCAGCAGAGTCCTGAGCTATTTGCTGCCCTAGACAAAACAGCTCTGACAAAACCCCCTGCAGCTTATTCCACAGCACAAGGGAGGATGCACAGCACTCACCCTGATGCTGCTGGGCACCAGGGAGATGGCTGCAATCCAGTTCAAAGGACAAGACTGTAGGCACATCTGTTTGCTAGAGAGATGCATGAGGTAGCTGTGATGCTATGACAAAACTGGATTTAAATCACATCAGAATTTAAAGGTATGTCCATGTATATAGATAGATGCATGATTTTTTTTCATTTTCCAAAGCTTTGTGCCATCACATTCAGCACTATCTGGCATCTTTCCCCAGACTAGATTAATAGAAATAGTCATGATGTGCAATGTTTACCTGTGAAGATAAGCATCCACTGGGGAGCAGAGCATGCTTCAGTTCAGTAGTCCAACATCACATTTTAAATTTATAAAACTAGGGTTTATTTTGTCATCCCTCTGTAGCCAATTCCAAGTTGCTGCAAAGTGGATTCCTAACCTCCATCTGTTTCCTTAATTTGGTGGCCCGAGTAAGGGGGTAAGGCTGACAGGATTGCTTTCATCAGCTGTTATTGCTGAGCTAAGAAACAAGCAAGGAAGTGCTGCTTTGAGGACAGAGTATGTCTGAGTGATTTTTTCAAGCATGCTTCAGAGAAGTACGGTCTCTTCTTACAAGCTACTTGAGCTCCCACAGCACCACACCCTACTTTGAAGGCGAGGATGCCAAACAGGTTGGCTTTCCCCTCTGGGAAGGAGGTGGATCCAGAGTGTTCGGGCACCCTCCTCATTGGGTGCTGACTGCTTCCCCAGCTCTCCGTGCTTCCTGCCTGGGTGATAAATAAGTTTCTTGGAGCACAGGGGGCACCTAAGGTGCTGCTCACATCTTGGCTCTAGCAGGGTTGCTTGCTTTTTTTACTTGCCTTGTACACAAAAAGGTTTCTCTCTCTCTTGCAGAGCTTGGGTGTGGTGGTGAGAAACCTCTTTGGACAAAACTGCTGATTCCAAGTGTCTCCCTCAAACCTTGTCACTGCAGTTGCAACTTCATTGCTTGGAAAAACCAACTGGTACAATCAAGGCACCGTATAGAAGAGCATGGAGAAATTCAGAAGTATTTTGGTTTTGTGCCTTGGCTTCCTTCTAGTCCATGTAAGAGGTAAGTGACCTTTACTTTGGCTTATTTCAAAGGCTAGATTATTAAAAATGAAAAGAAACCCCTAACCCAAACCATAGAACCTAAGCTCTCAACCCCGAAAAAGGATGCTTGTTTATTTGGAAATGCTTGCTAGCTTTTTTTTTTTTTTTTTTTTTTTTTTTAGCTACTGTTTCATGAGAAGCATTCAAAAGTGTTTATATGCACTTCACCAGTTTTTAAAGAGATACATGTCTCCTGGATGATTGTTCATAATAGCTGTGCTACTTGAAGTTTGTTTACTATAATTTCTTATTGTTGCATCCCTAAAATGATTAACAAGCTTAGGCTTGAGTATAAACTTTTTAAAATGGAAGCTGTAAAATGAGAGCTTCCAGGGGAACTTACAGTTTCCAAAGAGGTCCTTAGTCAAATAATGACTTCATGTTTTAAAGCTTTCCTTGGT